TCTCATGTGGAGGGGGCATCCAGCTGAGAAAGCAGGCCTAAGCATGGCATGAGTGGCTGTATCAAAATAAAAATTGGGACTTGTGGTAAGGCAGGCTTTGTGTTAGAGCAGTTGCACCCGCCCCTTTCCTGAGTGTCTCACCAAACTGAAAGAAAGCATCTCTCCTGGGAGAGATGGTAACTCTGGTGGCAATTCTCCTGCACGGTGAGCTCTGGGTTTTGTATGGAGAAAGGCAGGCTCTGAGCTAGCCCTCACCGACCCAACTCCTTTTAAAGTGTATCTGAACTGTGTGACGGAGATGATTAAGCCAAGCTGGAATACCAGGACGGGGCTCAGGGCAGCCATGTTGCCCCTCGGGTGGGTGTTAGAGCTTACACGAAGCTCTTTCGTGGCAGAGCTGCAGTGCTTAAAGCTGGCTTTGGCATTTCTACACCAAGGATATCCCGAGCGATGGATTGCTTGGGAAAACCTTTCTTTTAGTAAGAAAATTGGTGTCCTTGTCCATGCCGCTCAAAGGTGGTTGTGAATGGCTTTCTCCTCTCACGGCCAGAAGCTCTCGCTGCTGCGTCAGTGAAAAGGAGGAGAGCTGGGGAGAGGAGCCCCTGGTGCACGGACTGGCAGTCCGGCAGACTGTGGAGTGTCTCTGGCTGCCGGTGCAGCTCCAGTAGGGCGGCTGGGCCCAACCTGTCGTTGAAGGGCAGGGCTTTCTCTGCCGGGATTGTGTTTGCAGCAGCCTGAGCATGTGGGCCACCCCAGCACCCATGGCAGGGGGAGCGGGATGGGGAGCATGGCCCGCCCCACCGTGGGGGCCAAGGCCAGCACCATGTGGGGAGGGTGAAGGGGGCACACCGAAAAGCTAGGTTTCTCCCTGGTTTTGGAGGAGGAGGAGGATCTTGGGGCTCCACTTAATTCTGTGTTGCCTTGTTTCCTGGCTAGCTGAAGGGCTTGCCTGTGCTTGATAGCACTTGTTATTTCTCCTTTCTTGTTTGTTGGAGGAGGAGGGGAGGGAAGGTGAGGTACTTTCTATTTAAAACCAGAAGTGTTTGTCATCTCCATCCAGGTGAATTAACCCACACTGGAAGGAAGTATGACATTCATATTGCCTTTTGTAATCTGGGAAGGCTGTGGATGGATGTGTGCATCATTGCAGGAATTGCTTTGTTCACTAGTACTTTTGCTGCTCTTCCGTTTTGCTTAGCTGGCCACCTTCCTCACCCTTCCTCTCTCAAATTTTGTGCTCCCTACTGCAGTATGACCAAGCATTGCCCCTTTGTTTTCATGCTGACATGCGGCCAGCTGCACCCTCTCACAGTTCCAGCTTGCAGTGAGTTTGTGCGCCCAGAATCACCTATGAGTTAGATGGTAGCTGCTTTGCCACTGCTGTGTGTACAGGAGCTGAAGTCCTGGATTTCCAGGCCTTCTTGGGAGAAGAGTATGGCTAGCTTTAACTAAACGGGGGCTGTCAGACCACCTCACTTGAGAAGTACTGTTAGAACAGAGGGAGAGATAGCACGCTCAACATCTGATCCAGAGAAATGTGAAAGACCAGTAAGCCCCAACAGCAGTAACGGTGAGGTTTCTGGGAGAGTTTGTGTAGCCTGCTAGAAGTTGGCAGTTGCCAGATAGGCTCCTGTATGCTCGTCTGTCATGGTATTGGCCGGACTGCAAATGCTAATTGAAAGTTTCCTTTGGCTTGCCCAGCTCCTGGGGGTCTCCTGAGCCTTCCTCTGTTGGAGGGCCAAGCTGACCTGTAGTGGGAGCATAACACAGCAGTGCTCCACAGGCAATCTCTTCCAGGAACTACTAGGTTTTTGTATGTAGCTCCTCCGTATGTGAAGGCTTCAGGTGTAGTCAGTCTTGTTTAATTATTTTCTCTCTCATCTCCATTAAATCCTTATTGCAGACATCTGCATCTTCCACTACAGTGAACCAGCCTTCAAGCAGGAGCTTAACTGTTTCCCTGACTAGATGTGTAAGTTCTCCCCCACTGTCTCTGCAGAAAGTTTGCTTGTCCCTTCTCCTGCCTCACTTCCCAAAGCTGCTCGCTTGCTCTCCCTGAGGTGTGCAAAACACCTGGCAGTAATATGATGAGACATCTCACTTGGCAGCTTCCAGTGTTGATCTGCTGTGCACCTCCCTCTACCCTGTCTCCCAGTATCATCGTGGAACTGCTCCAAATGCAGCTTTCAACTTGTCCTTTCACCTGTCCAAATCCCTTGCAACAGAGCCAGGGAAGTGGAGACTGGGTCTTTGAGCTTAATAAGAGGAAATTCAGTGTTGTGTACATCTGTAAAAGCACAGCGAGCAAGAGTTCTTCTTTCCCTCACACAGTTTGGGCTCGAGTTTGAGGATATTGCTATTCAGGCCTTTATAGGCCATCATGTTTTTATTAGTAGTAAACCTTCCTTGCCCATCAGCTTGTGTCCAAGACCACCTGTCTCCCCTAAACAGCCTCTCTGCTCCTGGGGAGCCTGTTTTTGAAAACTGTCTGTGATAAGGAGTCCTTTTCTAGCCATGTAGCAGGGGAGACTTAAGTTAGGTAGCAGGAAGAGCTAAGAGTAGTTGTAGCACAAGAGTGATCTGATGTGATCATTAAACCTTTGTTAAAGGAGGGGTAGACGTACCTATCGGGGAGAACATAGGTAAAGTTGATCCTGTCTTGGACAAGGTGGCTGCTTACAAGTTTATGACCCTGCTACTTTCTGTGCTCTGCCAAGCTCTCTTGTTTCTGTGCTGGAGCTTCTTCCTGACAGTCCTGTACCTTCCCATGGGCAACAGTTTCAAAAGATGGTTTAGCAGCACCAAAGTAGTTTACCATTAGCTGACAGCAGTAAGATGTGGCAGAAGCCCCGTGGGAACTTTCTGAATGGACATATCTCTTTGAAACATACTATTTGTTGAAATTATAACTATTTACAACTAATCGCTACTTGGGGGGAAAAATCCAAATTGCTGAATAATCCCAGTTTTGGCCTGGTTTTGTAAGAAATTATCTTTTCAATATAAACAAAAATTAAAGATTACATGAGAAAAAATACGCAGGAACAAAGTTAACTGATGAGTAAACTCAATTGGTTAACTCAATTTTTTCCTCATTTTTTAAAAAACTATAAGATGATGACAATCCCCATGATTAAGGTGTATGTAACGCTTCAATTCTAACTCCAGAGCGTGGGCTCATTGCTTTCAGAGCAGGTGTTCTGTTTCACTTGACGTAAGGGAAAATATAAGCTAAACCAGCTTTCAGGTCAGGCATGCCCTGGCCATGGAGTTAACTGGGACAATTAGTCCAGATGTAATCATGCCCTTATTGCTTTTACTTTCTGTGTGGGATCAGAAAAAGTTACCTGTGACTATAGAGCCGCTCCAGCACAAGGAAATCACCATTGATCTCAAAGATTTCTCTTTCCATGCAGAGACTTTCCTTCCTCTGTTTGAGAGCCTCCCAAGTTGAAATTGTCACACACACCCCCAAGAGCAGTTGAAACTCTGGAAAAAAATGCTATTCTTTA